GACGCCCCAGGGCTGGGGCTGGGGCTGGGGCTGGGGCTGGCCGCGAGTGACAGCGGCGCCCAGCCTAGGGGAAGCTGGGGAGAACGGCAAGGGCCCCGCAGCGCATCCCGCTCGGCTACAAGCGCCTGTCAGCCTGGGGGACAGCCCCGGGGAGCCCGCCACCTTTTGCCCGGCTGCACAGGAGGGGCGGGGGGCACCCTTTTTCTTGACCTTGCCTCCTCCCCACTGATCTGTGCACTGCTGTCATGCAGGCATCTTATGGGAGGGGAACTTCCAAGCGACCGGACCTCAGTGGTCCGTTTATTCCCAGAAGCGCCTAAAAGATGTCAAGCTCCTATCACCTGCTGGGTGACAGCTCTCAAGACCATGCCAGTGAAGAAAGAGTGCTTAAAACATGCTGTCTCCCATAACTAGTGCATTCCCATGAGCAAGATGGCCGTGGTCTTTCAGAAAACGATGCATTTTGTGGAACTAAGCAGGAAAGTAGACCGCGTAAGCTTTGGGGTTAATCTGGTTTGTCAACCAGGGATGCAGTTCTAGAAAAGATTAAGACAAACTCGATACTTTTTACAGCTTTTTGTTTAGTTGCTAACGGACAAAAATAAAGCCAAATCTGAAAGCCTCATATTCCAAGTAATATGTGTGACATCAACAGTCCTGCATTCCTTGCATGCCCCAAGCCTGGGCTCCACTGGAGTTTTTGGGTGTGGAGGCATGGCATGCAATCAAATTAAATTCAGGGTACTGGCTTCTGTCTTCTTTCGTAGTCTTTGCTTTATACTTTACTCTTGGATATTGTTTCAGAGTTTGCTGAATGGACTGATCTGTTACAAACCCGATGACCCCATAGAATTTTTGGAAAGCTGTTTACAGAAAGTGAAAGAACTGGGAGGATCAGAGAAAGTGAAATGGGACACTTTTGTTAGTCAAGAGAAGAGGACACTACCCCCGCTCAATGGAGGACAATCCAGAAGATCCTTTTTTAGAAATGGTAATGTATAACCTTCAGCTGAACATTTTATATTTCAACATAATATTAGACAGTTTCATTATTGCTGCTAAAATTGTATGAGTAAATAAGTTACTTTGTAGCTCAGTGACAAATGAGATGTTACACTTCATGTCCACAGGGAAAAATTATAGGTCTAAAAATATTCACACTCCAAGTTATTTATACAAATGTACAAGTAACTCATAGACAACCAATCTTGAAATGGCCAACCTCCCCCCCCCCCCC